AAAGCAAATTTAGAAAATTAAAGACATTTTATTATTTAGTTATGAAAATGTAATATAAACAAAAAATTCTAACCTTTTGAATCATATTTAACACCTTACAAAATAAAAAATCCTCTCCTGTAAAATAGCGATCTATACAGTTACGGGGTATTACAATTAGACCATCGATGATATGCGTGTGATACGCATCTGGACAACGGTTTCCCACAAACAGAGACTGAGGATTGAAATGAATAAATGAACGATCAGTTTTTGGTGGATGAGTAGGGCAGATACGGTCCTTTTTGTTGATTTCCATTCTACATATAAAAGCATGAAACCAAGCAAAAATTGTTCATGTTAATATTTATCCCATCATTTCTACTGAAACGCAAGCCTCATGATGATCATTCGAGTTACATGGACGATTTCTTAAGCTCAAAATCGTCGAACATAGAAAATGTGAATAATTTTAAAGCGCATAATATTGAAGTTGTCATGTTTTCTGAAAAGGTTCACAAGTATTCCGAGCTAAATTCACTTTAGTTTCCATAGTAATTGAGAATTGAGTGATCATCTGTGACCATTATAGGCTAGTCAACCTCTACGGTGAATAGCTTGCAATCAATATTTAGTGTGATCCATCTGTTTATGATATATTTATTGACCGTTGCAGCAAGTATTGGTGTATAAGGCTACGTAACAATCTACTAACCATGACGGATTCATTAGTAAGTACTGATGGCACGAACAACAGTAAATACTGACATTCGCCTAAGGCTGAAAAAATCGTTGTCAGCCAACACAGCTCTAGAAGGGCATCGTTCTAAAAATTTGAAAGAATATTGGTAACACTTCAATGGATCTGTTTCGTTTTTTAAATAAGCTATTGCTCCTAATAAAAACATTGAAAATGACGCTCTTCAAAATTAGTAGCTCGTTCCTCCACACAATGTTGAATGATCGCAGTATCCAGCTGAAAGCTTAAAACATTTTCGTATTCAATGATTTATTTTATATAGTCAAAGTAACACAGAACTTGCATAAGATATGAAGGTGTCATTTTCGATAATTTTTTACTGCTAATGAGAATTAACATTTTGTTACTGTAAAAAGTGTTAAACATCACTAATTTGAGCAAAAATAGATGGGAATTGAACACAAAGTTGCAATATTTTTTCCACAAAGAACGGCCACAAAGTTTATTTAAGATAATAAGCATCACCCAACTACGCATATCATAATGTCAAAACAAACATCAGCACTCGGTTGCCGTTTGTTTTTGCTTGTCGCTGCCATGCCCAGGCATTTTTGGTCCGCTGGTCAAGGAGCGCGCGAAATTGAACGAGTTTATCACTGGGATAGAAGAGAGCTAGATCGCCGATGGCCCTTTGGTGTGAAAGGGTCCGTTCGAGAAGGGTCATCGAGAGTTGGGCAGCCCTCCTCTAAACAGCATCGAGCATGGATGGTAAAGAAAAATAATTCTTAGCTCTTAACAAATAGCCTAGCTTTTTTCCAACAGGAACCACTATTACCGCGATGAGCTCGTGTCAGATCAAGTCCTCGGTAGTCTGTACTCCAACCAGCCGATGTGAACGGCTCTTTCATAGAACTCGGTCATCCATCGAAACCCGATGAGCGTTCTTGTTAGTGAAGGTACAGAACTGTGTTTTGGAAACAGTAAACTCTACAAGATTGTACCATCCCTAAGCAGCAGTAATATCAGAGAAGAAGTCGCTGCTAGTCTTTTCTCCAGTTCACCTGCAGAGATCGGCTTGTCACTCTGAATTTCTGCATGTAGAGTCATGTCACCAGCAAAGCTATGGATCGGATTGGTCGTACTGACAAGGGCGTGGTTGAGATGTAAGAGGAACAACATACAAACCAAGACCGATACCTAGGGAATAGCCACGTTGACATTGTGATTGAACGCTTTCGAGAGTAACCGCATGAGCCTTTCCATAAAACTGGATCAGTTCACTCCTTAGTTGCGTGACGTAAGCTAGGAGGTCCCCCGAGGATCGCTGGTGCCGGAAAGCTGGTAGCCTGTCGCTAAGGTAGTTCCTTTTTTTGAGATTTTGAAATGAGCAACTATGGCGGTTTACTGAGCAAGGGAAAGAGATCTCGAAGAGTCGCTAAAGACTGGACTTTATGTTAAAGACCATGAGGCACAAACCGAACCTTGTGGCACCCCCGTACCAAAACATGACTACATATTCTGAGTCACACACATATTTATAATTTATTGGTTTCTGCACTTTTTCCCACAATCAACCATTTGTTGTATTCTGGGCAGTCTGGCTCTACTCTACGCCCTCTCTCTCACTCACAATAGTCTAATCATATTAAACGAAAATACCGCTGGTTTGCGAAATAATTGTAAAGTCTGGTTTTATTGCTGCAAGCTGTTCAAGGCGGTATTCAAACCATAGACGCATAAAATGGGTACACCAATTTTTGAGGGAAAACTTTTTATTCGACAACAAAGAATGAGAAAACGTGTTTTTTGGCATTCAATCGAAAGTGTTGGCAGGAAGGAAAAAACTCTTCATATAAGATTTTTAGGTATTCATGAGACCTACAAAATGAGACTACACGTAAAAAGATCCGACTAATAGCAAACAAGTTATGGCCGAAAACCGAGGCAAACTGCAGGTTTTGGTACTTGTTGGTAATGCGACGATGGTTTCTCGCAGATATTTGAAAGTCTTCAAATTCGTAGGATTTGTACTTCTAAATAACCATAACAAAATTGGAGTAAATTGGTCAAGTAGTTTTTGCGCATTTCTAATTGTTTATCCCAAAACAACTGTTTTCCGGCCATCACTACTAGTTTACTGAGCAATATACAGGGTTAGTTTGAAGTGCATTTTATAGAAAAATACACTAGTTTACCTTACCAGTTATGAATCGCAAACCATTCCGGAAGAAAAATGTTATTTTTATGCAAAAAAGGATGAGTTACGTTTTTTTCTAAACAAATTGAATCATCTCGTATTTGTGAATAATTCGCAACAAAAGATGATAGACACATTCGCCTTGCTTTAAAATGTGTATAGTAATGTATGTTTTTCGAAAAATATCATTTATCTTTTGGAATGGTTTGTGATTCATATCGGTAAGGTAAACACGTAATATATTTTGCTATTAAATGCTCTTTAAACGAACCCTGTATATTGCTCAATAAACTAGTAGTGATGGCTGGAAAACAGGTATTTTGGAATATAAACAATTAGAAATTCTCAAAAAACTACTTGACTAATATAATCCAATTTTGTTGTTGTTATTAAGAAGTATGAGTCCTACGGATTTGAATAATTTCAACTAGTTGCGTGAAACTATCGTCCCATTACCAACAAGTGCCTAAACCTGCATTTTTCCTGTCAACACTTTCGATTGAATCCCAAAAAACACGTTTTCTCATTCTTAGTTGTCAAATAAAAAGTTTTCCCAGAAAAATTGGTGTACCCATATTATGCGTCCATGTTTTAAATACCCTCTTAAAAAACTTGCACCAATAAAACCAGACTTTACAATTTGCTAATATGATTAGGCTATAATGAATGATCCAGTAGGATAAATCACAGAAACAAAAGGAAAAGAAATTACCGCTTCGAATACTACTTTGACATTTATCGAACTACAAACGCAAACAAAGGATCTAGTGTAACCGGAAAATCCCATTGATGAATATTCCCTCCACAAACGATAATGAGTAGGTAGTTGTATCGGCTCTGCATGGCGACGCACCTATAGACGTAGCGTCGTCTGGACTGCGAGAATGCGAAATGCGTTGCGTGTGGCGTCCACAACGTCGGCATCGGTTATCGCGACGCTAGTTTCTCTGTTGTTCTCCCTTAGCATAACACGTACTAAGAAATGTAGGGTCGCATTCACTTTCGTAGGTCACGTCTGTCTGTAAGGGAAAGTTGCGGAAAAACGTATAGTTTAACATGGTAGGATAATGAAAATACAGGATGGAGTGAATGAAATGAGACATCAACAAGACTTGACATTTGCTCATGAATCTATAAGCCATATATTCTTGTATTATTATTACATAACTGAGCCTGAAGTGATCCTTGTGGAGCACCTGAGTTTATCTACAAAGACTCTCCGGGGAACCATAGATGCAAGTTTTCACAGAAAAAACATGCCAAACTGAAAAGTTTTAACCACCTCCTCCACCACCCTCACGAATGAATCAATTGTTTCTAGGCCAAGAACCCCTTTCAACAAGTCTGCATGTTTCCAGGCCCAAAATTGAGTCAGAAACTGTTAAACAACGTTGTAATCAAATAACCAAGACATGTTTTTCTACTTACAACAAAGTTTTTTATCATTCTGAACAAAAAAGTCTTCATGAATTTTTCTCTAAAGATGATAGAGATATAAACGATTTGATATTCCCAACCCCGAAGGACAGTTTAAAAAAGAGAATATTTTGATGTCACCGAAGTTCCCAAAACATTGCTCAAACACCCATTAATAAAAAGGCAGAGGATTTTAGGAGTTGTTGTTATTGTACGCCTTTGTTTTTTAGTTGTTAGTCAAGTATATTTTGTATGCGCTCTTGCTTAACAATTGGAAAACAAAGATTTACAATAACAATGCCCAGACTTTAATAATGGATGTTCGGAGAATATTTATGGTCTTGACAACATTGAAATTAGTATTCCTTCACATTATTTTTTGAGGTCGATAATGGCATATTCACACCTTTTCAAATGTTAAATCGCTTATATCGCCAACACTATCCTTAGTGATGGCTTTTAAAGAAGTTTTGGAGAAACGTTTATAAGGACCTTATTTTGTTCAGAGCGACCCAAAAAGAAACTAACCAATTTTTGATGCAAGTTTGGGTCTGGCAAACATTCAACATGCAGGTTCCTTAAAAGGGATCCTGTTTGATTAAGATTGATCGAAGGAACCAAATCATGATATTTTTCCAAGCAGATGCGAAACTACTAGCAAGACTGTGCACATGCTAAATATATAAGTCTAGCCAATAATCTATGAGGCTTTGTGTCAACAGTTGGCAATGTCAATTAGACTTTTATTGTATACCAATCTCATTTTTCCCAAAACAGTGATCACTTAATCCGAAATAGTGCATATTCGACATATAAGTTCGAAAATGATGAACAGAGATATAGAGGATTTTTTCGCTGAAGAAGAAACAATAGTTCAGTCGGCGGTCGCAAGGAAAGAAATGCATACTCAATACCAAAAGGCAAAAGTGAAATACTTTGAAACAAGAAATGCGGCACTTCAAGGTTACTATTTGCGTCTATCCTGGGAATCAAAAAAGAAGTTTCTCGTCAATTTGCTGAGCAAACTTCGAGGTCTTAACACCATTCTTCATATACTGCATTTGATGGCTGTCAGAGCATTGAAAGTCGTTACTTACGACTTTGTGGATCCGAATACGGAAGCAATCCAGGTAGTTCTCTAACTGTATTTTTGATGACTCCATGTATTTTTTAATGTGATTTACCTTATTTCGCACATGAAAGAATAGGGTTTGCCATAACCGGAAATATTTTTACATTAGTATTGTGCTGGGGGAAAAGTTCGCGGATTTTGGAGTGAACTTCCCTAAGAGAAATAGCACTCTGCGCAAGCCAACGAATTCGAGTAGTTTGGAAGGAGTCAAGCCTACGAGGTCTGTAAATCAAGCGATGAGGGGACATCGGAACATGTAGTCCGCCTTCAGTCTAAGTTTGATCTCGCTCGAGTTATTTGGTTGTCTGTGGCGATTTTTTTTGTGAAACAGTTTTTTCTATTGTATTCTAAAAAGGAGTAACATCAATTTCGAACAACGGTATGCTTCAGTCTTGGAGATAGTGTAACGGAAACCCTTGCTAAATTTCAGCAAGCCTACGGTTATAGTGTTTTGACAAGATCCCATGTTTTTCGGTTGTTTAAGGCTCTTTCAGAAAGGAGACAGTCAATTGAAGATAAGCCACGAAGCGAAATACCTTCGTACGCCTTGTACGTTCAGATCGTGGGCTGACAGTCGGAATGAACTTGACTCACGCCACCGTTCATCAGATGCTCATTCAGTTTTTGGCCAGTAAAAACATGAATGTGGCTCCTCGGCCTTCTTATTTGCCGGGCTTGAGTCCTTTTGACTTTTTTCTCTCCCAGAAGTTGAAAAATCACCTCAAGGGAACTCATTTTGGGACAGTCGAAAACATTCAAACGCCTGTAACCGACCAGCTGAATGCTATTCCAGTATCGAAACTTTGTTCAGATTTTTGAACTGCCTAAGGTTAGTAGAATTGGGAAAAGCCTCCTCTTGTAGATTGTTCCACAATCTCGACACTTTAGGGACAAAGGAGCGGTCGTATTGGCCAGTTCTGGATGTACGAAGTTTGGCATGCTTAGGATGGGAGGCTGAAGTCGGACGGGACTGTCTGGCAGGCTCTAAGGATCAAAATATAGCGGTAGAAGAGAGTAAGTTAGCCGAAGGCCCGCTGGTGCGAAAGGGTCTCGGGCCTGTATGTTGGAAAAGAGTCATGGTTCAGTCGGACAGCCCTCCTCCGAACAGCATCGAGCATGAATAATCTGGACGGGGCGGCAGCACCCCAATACTTGAGGCTAGGTCTTATCTGGGGCGTGTATAGAGTGGTGAGGATGTCATTTGGAGAAAAGAACTTCTTAGCCCTGAACATGTAGCCTAGCTTTTTCCCAGCAGCTGCCGCTCTTGACGAGATATATTCGTGCGAGATCGTCGGTGATCTGAACTCCGACTAGTCTAAGTGAATGGCTCTTTGGCAGAACTCGACCATCCATCGAAATTGGATGAGCGCTAGGACGCTTTTTGTTCGTCAAGGTTCAGTACTATCTTTTGGAAACATTAAACTGTACAAGATTGTTGCATCCCCAAGCAGTGATAACCTTCAGGACTCTTGTCAGAGAGGAAATCGCTGCTAGTCTTCTTTTTTCCAGCTCAGCGGCAGAGATCGGCTTGTCGTCTTAATTCCTGCATGTAGAGTGCTGCCATCAGCAAAGCTGACCGAATGCTTTCGTGATATTAAGAGCAACGACATGAGCCTCACCATACTGGATGAGTTTACTCCACAATTGCGTTACGTAAGCTAAGAGGTCCACCGTGGATCGCTGGTGCCGGAAGCCATACTGCTAATCAAGCCGTGACGTTCGAGGTAGTCCAGAAGCTCGCAGTTTATGCACTTATAAATCAGAGATGTCGGCCTGTAGTTTTAAGGTTTTAAGATCCCTTTTTTGTGATGAGTTGTACATGAGCGCAAGTTTCCAGTTTTCTGGAATGATGTCGAATTCTTTGACGCAAGCCAATCCGTAATGCAGCTGCTACTCGCTCGGCAACACAAACACATGAATATGATGATAGAGTACCATTGTTTTCACTAACTTTCTGAAAATACTTCTTAATATATACTGTCAGCCTTGTATATTGATACTCAGGCAACATTTTGTTGTCTATCGAAGAGCAACATAAATAAGCACACGCCCATGACAAGGAAATTGTCGTACTGACTGTGACACATATGATACGTTGCCGAGGAAATTCTTAGTAGTAGAAGTAGTTCGGTAACCCGCAGGAAACCGTGAACATATCTATAAAGAAATGCGTTTTTTAGTTTTGTCTCACCGCCTTGATTTTTTTCGCTTTAAAGAATGAATCTTCAACATCTATGCTTGTCACTGTCAGTATGACAACTTGCTTGTCGTGGGTGTGCGATTTGTGTTTACCGCTGTTAAATTACTCAAAGATTGAGTGACTTAAGCTCCCAAAAGCTTTGTACTAAAACGCTTATAAAGAGGACAACTAAAACCCGTGAAAATAAGGGGTGTTCCATTTGAATTTTATGATAAAAGGTACCTTTTAAGTTTATAAACACGCTGATGCATTTCAGAAGTTAGATACTGCAAATGTGCCTTACTCTCAAACTTTATTGTTTTATTTAAGTACCTAACAATCCAAACCCTATAGTATGCTACGAGTACATCAAACTTCTTATTTTGAAGCTGTCTTTCAGAATACACGAAGCTATACAGGACATTCTGTTTTCAAAATTGTATGTTATGAATCAACCCGTAGAGAACGGGATATTTTCCAAGTACCTAAGGAGCATATATTTCCCTATGTTTTGTGGATAATTTGTTTAGACATATTTTATAATATCGGGCAGCCGACCGATCTCACACTCAAAACAATCTGTATGATAATTATCGTTTACAGGATAAACTTTTGCTGGATCATAACAGAATGCTGGATCCAGACGTTTTAAAGCAAACTATAGATGATGATATCGAGTGGTTTACTACACTTACCGAAGAAGCTCAAGTAACAGTTTTCCTGGGATTACTCCGACTAACGGGTGGTGCTGCAAAAAGAGCCATGTATATCCCAGTTTGGAGACGTTACTTCCAATTGGTAAAAGAGATGAACTTATTAATGGCATGTGATAAGACAACTGTGACAGATGGTGGAGATTATATATGTTATATAAAAGTTGCGTTCGATGAAGACGAATTTGATGCCAACCGCCCTGCTGATGTGGAGGTGCGAAGACTTAGAATGGAATGGGAACAAATGATTGAGGCATATAAAAGAGATGTGAATAAAACTACAGAATTTCTGAGATCGGTAGTTGGCATCAAAAAAGGACCAAAAAAGCAGGAGGACAAAGATGACAAAGATTCGAAGGAGAAAGTAAAGAAAAAAGGCGATAAGAAGAGTAAAAAAGAAAAATTCGCAAAAGCTGTCCAGGCTGATGAAAAGAGTGAAATAGATGTTATCCAGCTGCTTCCTATATGGACTGTGAAGAGGATATTTAATTTCTTAGATGTGAAATCTTTGCAAAATTGCAAAAAGGTCAGCAAATACTGGGCCTACGTTGTTCAAGAAATGATGAAAGAGATGAAAGCTAGACAGCAAATAAACAAACAACTAGCAAGTATTAAACAGAGTGTCGGTGAGGATAAAATAAACGAAATAAGGGAACGTCTAAAGAACCATACATCAAATGTACGTAAAAAGAACAAAGACATCAGGCACTATGACTTGGGCGCTGTTGCAGAAAAACTGCTGCCAGAACTGATCAAAACGAACCTAAAAGAAACGTCACTATTGCAAAAAGCCGTGAAACAAATGCCAGACGAGTTCGGAGAAAACGTGGCACTTACCACATTCCCAAGATTAATAAAAAGCGATATGGATATGTACAGGTTCAAGTCATGCTTTATGAGAGATGTTGCCGTCCACTTTGATGTGGAAGAAGATGTAAAAAGGCAGAAGTCGCTACTAACTTACTCTTTACAAAGTATCGTCGATAGCTTGAAACTCGATGTCGACCAGAGTCTGTTGGCAGATTGGTAAATTTGAATCATCCACCCTGCCCTTGCAGTGAAGTATTTGAACAAAAATGACTACTGATAATGCTCAACTCACAGGTTTGCTCTCAAGGCATATGTAATGTATAAAATAAAATTTTAGTACCCTTGATACTGTGTCACTGTGACTTCTGGTATGCACAATATTTATATTTTGCATAATAGGAATATTGGAGGAATTCGAATTCTCTGTCATTTTGTAGAAATTATTTATACCAAGTAAGCCACATTGGCGTTAAAATACTTGGTACATTGAATAGCCAAAAGCCTTGCATCCGTAAGAGACAATTTTCAAGGTTCTTCCCATAATCACGTTTGTTGGATGCAATAGGTTGATAGATGGTAACCAGGTGCAAAATAATTCAGATAATCTGTTAACAAAAAAATTTATTGATCTGCTCCGGAGTACTGAGGTTTTATGGAACATTCTAAAGAAGAAAGGACCCAAGTAACTTCGGCCGAAGGCTGTATAAGAAGCCGGACACCAGTTTAGACCAAAAGTTCACATTCTGCCAGACCATAGTTATTTTGTTCACCAAATACTGTACTATAAGCCCTATATACGACACACGAGCTTTTCCATCATCAAAGGACCAACCGTCTCTCTCATCCCAGCTTCCCAGCTCGGGTTGGCAGCGCGTTGGCGTAGATCGGATTTGCGGCCGATTGACATTTCATATAATTTATTCATAGAGACAGAATGCAGCGCCATAAGAGGCTTACAACTCTAGCCACATTAAAATCGCATCAAATATGCATATCGCTGCCTGCATGTACTTAAGGATTTATCCGGAGCCAAGAGAGACCTTTCTGCCAGAAAAGCTCCTCTGCCTGACAGAGTTGCTTTTTTCTCTATGATGTTGCTCTTAGCTTTAACTGATTCGGTATAATATTGCCAATGTAGCTTAAGTTATGGATTAGTGCTTTTGTTGCAGTCAGAACAGATCTCAGAGTATCGAGGAATATTATAAAACAGAGTAGTACCTGTGCATTTGAAAATAAATTGCACATTAAAATTGCCATTTTGTCCTCACAAGAGAGCATAATCAGAATGTCAATATAAAGTTTCGTCTATTGTACTTATTTTTTTCGAATGGGCCCCATATGGAATTTCTGCTTAGGGAATAGAGTTTTAAATTCTACTTCCAAAAATATATAATATGTCATACATACACATCGCCAAACGCTAGTTATTTAAAAAAAAAGGATTTAGGTGGGCCTCAGAGATATCAGAAGGGCATTTGTTTCATATGACGGATTTATTGGAAAATCGTTGTTTATTTCCTGGCTTTATTTGAAATATTATCCAAAAATAAATTGCATATTAGCATTGCTGTTCTTTCTGCTCTACAAGAGGGCGTAGTCAAATTCGACGCTTCTGCTTCCGATCTCCATTTTCAAACTTTGCTTTTTACTCATGAAGCTCCTGTTGAAATTTTGCGCGATTGAACACAATTTTTGATTCTGCATTTAGTTATGAATATAATAAAGGGTGTCCTAAAATTAACGCAAGATTTGAATTTGTCGCCATTTGTGCAGTGAAGTGTTGGCAACCCTGAAAAAAAGCAATTTGACAGCTAACAGTATAGGGTTATGAAAAATGGAGCGTTACACGATAGAACAACGTGTCTTCATTATTAAAGAATATTTCAAAAATAGTGAAAGCTTGGCGGCTGCAGTTCGAAAATTTCATACAAAATATGGCCGGAATAGTGTTTTAACTTCGTCAACTGTGAAGAGATTAATTGAAAAATTCATGGAGACTGGATCCGTTGGAGACGCCAAACACACTGGTCGTCCAAAAACAAGCCGTTCAAATGTGAATATCGAAGCAGTGCGTGAGAGTGTTGCGGACAATCCAGGAACCTCAATTCGACGTCGTGGACAAGAATTGCAAATGTCAAGAACCTCTCTACAGCGTATACTCACCAAAGATCTGTGTCTTCATGCTTACAAACTTCAATTAACACAACAATTGAAGCTTAATGACCATGCAGAGAGAAGAGAGTTTGTTGAATGGATTATTGAACATCAACAAATGGACCCTGATTTTTCAAGCAAAATCATCCTAAGCGATGAAGCACATTTTCATCTTGATGGCTTTGTCAATCGCCAAAATTGCCGCATTTGGGGTTCGGAGAACCCACGTGTGATTGTCGAAAAAGAAATGCACCCACAACGCGTGACTGTCTGGTGTGGATTTTGGGCTGGAGGCATAATTGGGCCATATTTTTTTGAAAATGATGCTGGTCAAGCAGTGACTGTTACTGGTGCTCGATATCGCGACATGATTACACAGTTCTTTCTGCCAAAATTGAATGATATTGATGTACCCAATATGTGGTTTCAACAAGACGGTGCCACATGTCATACAGCCCGTGAAACAATTCAATTACTGCATGAGACATTTCCCGGTCGTGTACTCTCTCGTTTCGGTGATCAAAATTGGCCTCCTAGATCGTGTGATTTAACACCATTAGACTTCTTTTTATGGGGTTATTTGAAATCACAAGTCTATGTCAACAAGCCCACAACCACCCGTGCATTAAAGGAGGAGATTCAACGCTGCATCAACGAAATTCAGCCACATTTATGCAGAAGGGTCATGGAAAATTTCGACAAAAGAGTGCGCATGTGCATGCAAAGCCGTGGAGGCCATTTGTCCGATGTGTTATTCCATACATAACCCTATCCTATGTACTTTATGAGTCAATAAAAATATAACTATTAAAAGACTAAAAATGGCATTTTCTATTTAATTCAAATCTTGCGTTAATTTTGGGACACCCTTTACATTTATTGGTCACGATAAACTTCACATATTTAATTAAAATGATATATATTCTTAGTAGAATTTAAATGTACAAAATGTACAAAATTCCACTATAGCGTCCTTATAACAAAGTTGCAGATGGAAGACCAAAGAAGAAATCTCGAATTGAAAATATGAATACGATATTTTGTAGAGGAGAAGAGTGTCAATGACAAAATTCAAGTTTTAATTAGGTACTATTGTTCATGTTTATATTATTTTCTTCAACTGATGTGCGATTTTACTGATTTAACATCACCTCCCGTGTTTTTTTTTTCCTATAAACCTCTTGCAGATAGCCACTAAACACCTTCTTGATGGCAGGCTCTACCAAAAATTTCATAGATATTGCTCGTTTCCAAACATTCATTCATTCACTTGCCGTTCATCAGTACCATTATAGCACCGTCGATTGATATTCCCATAAAACCATTTAGGAATTTTGATATCCATAAATCCATAGCCAAATATTTGTTAGTTGTTCAGGAACTGAACAAACATCTACACTATATTTACAGCGATTAAGAAATACTCAAATATACGTCGCCGGAAAGACAAAGAGGCGTAAGTCGGAAAATGCTCAGTTGGAGTTAGCACCCCCAGAAATCTCTAAAAGTGGATATATATAATATGACGAAGTGGCGTATCGCTCCTCCTTATAGTTAACGTAATATGGCAAATCAGTATGTGGACGGATCTCCTATTCTTGCTAGTGCTAAAAGGACAAACAGGCGTTTATCGCGTCTCCTGTAAAATAGCTAAATTGGAGTTACGCCTCTTTGTCTTTCCAGCGACCATATGTCGTAAAACTACCGGCAAACTTAAAACCTGCAAAAAATAGAATTTGCAATATTTTTCTTGTTTCACTGAGAACACATTCTAAGTTATATTTATATTGACATTATTTGAATAACAGCTGATTATTACATTTCAAAACTCCCCAACGAGTGACACATGTGTAGGATCCGTCAACCCTTGGTCCCAGTTGAGAAAGCTCCGCCAACTGTCTACTATCCTTTATAAGACTATACGTGGAATTTTTCCCAAAATCGTTGCACAACACTTGAAAAAATGCAAATGAAAATTTAAAATTATATCCATGACGCCGCAAAATAACTCCGTCGGTACCTCGGGTTATACATCTTGACAGTAGGGATGTTCGATACGATCCTATATTTAGAAGTATCTATACTTTTGCTTCCCATACCCGATGTTTAGGATCGATATTTTTATATACGACACTTCGGTGTATCGATACATTTCACGAATATCGTCATCTTTGGATCCGGACTGTGTCAGAAAGAGTGACTAACCTCAGATTACGTATGTTCTTTGTTTCCTTCCGCTGGATATCGATAATTTTATTCCAATATTTTAGAGTATCGATACTTCCTAAAACGATAAGAATCGATACATAACGATACTTTTCGTGGATCTAAACATCCCTAATCTTGACAGCTTGTCGTTCTTGTCAACTGGGCTGCAGGGTGCGGTGTTGCATTTACTATCTTACATTTTGCTAAAATCTTATGACAAATAAAAGCTTCAAATGAAATATTGACGAATATGAACGGATATGCATAGAATTTAGAATATAAATTCATATTGCAAATTTCAGATTGTCGATGCATGAACCGGATTTTTCGGTATTTTTGTCGAAAAGAGAATATTTACCGAAAACATTCTAGACAATTTTTCTATATAATTTAAATATTTCTATACGAAAAAGAGCTGAAACCAAAAATAAAGCTAAAAGTTAATTTTATGTAGTCTTCATAGTTTTATGCCCCATATCAATCATACATATGCATACACACTCAGGCAGTCGGGTACATGAGAGGCGTAGATTTGGGTGGCCTATGATTACGAACGCACATCCTCATCCCTTACTCCGCTTGCCCTGAATTGATTTTTGCGCATACAAAAGGTACAGACTGGTAGATTACCGTCATTACCTCATCACCGGACAAGCAATAAAGAAACCGAAACCTGACTCTTCTCAAAATAAAAATTTAATTAAAATGAGAGGAGAGTTGATGAGTTCAAGGGTAAAACAGAAAAATTTTCACAATCCTATAAGGAAGAATCGAAAAAGGAGTTTCCAGAATGCTTGCAAAGTAATTTAAAAGAGCGACCAGTATGCACATTGTAGAAGTTGTAATATAGAACTATGCCCTCAAAAAACATGTGTGCGCGCCCAATACAATAACAGACGTTTTTCATGACTCAAAGTTCCTTGATCTACCACTGATCTTGGGACGGCATTTACCTTATACCGAATACAACGGCACTATTTATCGAT